TCATAACTCCTTCCAAGGCTGCTAATTCTGTTTTGTGGTTACGATCTCTTCTGCTTCATGATTTGTTCTAGGAATAGCGATCGCGGAGTGTTTATCGGAGAAAACCGTGATGGGCTGAAGGAGGTCATACCCGATCAGAAACGCCTAGCTCCTGTTGTTGTCATCAACAGCGCTTTCAACAACCGGTTAGTACATATAATTTGAAAAATTCACATCGCATTATTCTATTAAATCTTTTTGCACCGCTTATATCACGTTGTTTCTCCGGAACATATGCAAGTAGTAGGAAGCTAAGAATTCATTGGTTTTAGATCCGATCATATGGCTATCTAAGCATAGTATAGAAAGGTAATGAGTTTATTCTCAGTCTAACGAGTACGGTACGCATCCACTAATATACGCTTTTTATTGGCGCCCCTATCGATCTAACTATTTGATATGGTATCTTTCGAGGCGATATTTACTTAAGAACAAATGTGTTCTGAAAGCTTGGAGACAGTCAAGAGAAAGCAAGACTGAGATGAGAATTCAAATGTGGGACCCAATTGCGGCGTATTGATTTTTATGGTCAACAAGATCTCTCAAAACACGCACCCGCGAGCGGTTAGCATTGAGGCAATTACTTCACTGATGGTGGTGACAACCAAAATCGCATTCATTGCTAAAAAATCACCGTATGGAAGAGCTTTCCGGGATCTACTAAACATTTATTGTACAAGGGAATGATTGACACCTTTTTCTTGCTTTGCAGATATTACAGATTCTGGTTTTATGAGTGACTTACTTTTTTACTTGTCACATTATAACAAACTCCAAAAAATTCCAGAGAAGTGATGTTTCCGCATTGTCCCAATTAAAAATGATGTGCTTTTTTTGTTCAAAAGTTTCTATGATTTTACACTATGCATTTGAAGGTGCTTGTTCGTACTTTCTCTTAATTTTATATCGAGCTTACCCGCTAACAGTGAAATTGTACGGAAAGTCTTGCAAGAGTTTTTTTTTTTCAAATTCTCTGGTTTCTCTTGTTGATATATACTTCAGAACAGTTTGCTGGAAGTTTGGGGGGTAGAGGGCGGGTGCCAAATCGAACATCTCATAAGCAAATCATGGATGCAATGCATTGTTGTAAGTGTACACGGCGCTGCGCACAATCTCGTTCTCTGAATGCCAGAAGTACAGGATCAGTACTATACCAGCAGGGAGCCTTACTACCTAATGCACGGTCAATCGTTTCACCAGTCACCGTGAATGTAGAGATTTGGAAGTTTGGGTGCTTCTGTGCTACCAAGGAAGCCAGTGAAATGCTCCTGTTCGCTGTGCAGTTTTAAGGCACAACGTGGCCGCTTTCAAAAACGCCCGCCCATTGACTGCAGATCACTGGAAGTGAGGCAGTAGAAATTTAAAAAAAGGCATCTAGTGAGCTTTTCTTGTCACTTGATTGTATAGTCGATTCCTAACACAAGATAACAAAAACGATTGCAGACAAAGGGGCGGCGCGCGACGCCTTTGAGTTTCGAGTGCGGAAAATCCATTCAGCTGTTTCT